ATATGTTTATTTTATATCACTTTTTGAAATTTATCTAAAATTTTAATATGTTTTCTATTTTTACTTTTTACATTGGTTCAGTAAAAAACAATTTTTTATATTAATTATTTTGACAACTAACGTTATTATTTTTTAAAATACTACCATGCTTTTTATTTGATCAGATAATTATAAATCAATGTAAAAATCTGTTTTAGGAAGTTTTTTTTATTTCCAGTGTGAACTTAGATAGTGTGGCGATACTAATACCTTACGATTTTATAATGCGCGAATAACACACTAATTTATACATTATTATTATAAATTGCTGATATTTATTTGATTTCCGGAAGAATAAGATAGAAAAATAGTTTTTACTTATCTTGAAGAAATTTGTGTATAAGCAAATAATTGAGTAATTTATACACTACTGTCTATCACACTGCATACATTATCATTTTACTTTGTGAATTTATAAAATCATTTAATTAATGCGGTTAATGAAGGATATTGACGACCATTTTTGTCAAAAACTAATTGATTTAATTTTCATATTCATTAGTATTATTAAGCACTCAAGATGGAGTTTAGGCCTAATCCCTTTTGCTGTATCAATTCCTGCAGAATTATTGAATTGATTTTCCTGCAGAACTACTGAATTAATAGTAGTTTATATCATCTAAAGTCATAGGTTCAACTTAGCATTCTAATATGATCCAGATACGAGTTAGAACAATACAGACATAGCCACCAAACTTAAATGTTGTGCACTTTGCCTAAAGAATGCCATTACCAAATCCAATTGATTGAATTTAGAGAAATAATTAAGAGCACGAAAGGGAATACATGATCAAGACATTATTAATTTTTGGTCAAGAAATATCAAGCACTAATTTGCATATTTATTCACATTATTAATTTTCTGCTCGAGTTAATTTTAATTATTGGATATACACATGTTTACACCACATTCAAATTCAATTTTGCAATCACATGCCACCCCATCAAATACTAAAGCAATCTAAGTCTAGTTACCAAGGATAAATAATGCTCTATATTTTGCCTAATTTAACAAAAATTAGAACACTTAATTGATTCCAATAAAGCAAGAATAAAATGAAATAAAACAAAATCAGAATATCATCAATTCTCATCATGGACAGTTCAAACCTTATCATCAAGAACCATGTTCTGCACTATTTTTAATTAAGAAATTATGACCTTCAATCAATGTAATGTAAACCAGTCACCACCCTCCCCCAATCTCAAAGTAAGAATCAAATGCAAGAAAGGAAAGGGTACAAACATGATTAGAACATTTTCTTGGATATTTTCCTTTGCTTTATCCTACATTTTTGTGTGTGTCTATTTTGCATTTTATGCGTGAATTCGTCACGCCTACCAAGATCAATTCACAGCCTCCTACTTTTTCAAAACAATCCTTCGTTCGCAAGAGAAACTCATGCAAAGAGGGGAAAACCAACACCTTCAATGAGCTTCAATAGAAGAAGAACCAATAAACACTAGAAAGAGACAAAATTTCCTAAATCTTAGATGTTAGAGAAAGGGGAAAATCAAGATGAGAGAAAGAGAATGCATCAGTGTCCTTCCACAACGACAAATCTTCTCTCTTTATATAACCCTACTCTTTTTTTTTGGGCGAAGAGGAGAATTTTGAAATCAGTAAGTGAGATTTAATTCATTTAAGCAAAAAAGGAGTTAAATAAAATCTCTTAAGAATTCTCTTACGTGAGATGAGATTTACTTAAGCCAAGTTAAATTTACTTAAGTTAAATTAAATTTGTTTAAACAAAAAGAGAGTAGAAAGAATAGTATTCTTGTTAAAAACATGTGAGATTTTAAATGAAAGAATACATTGCATTAAAGTAAATTTATTCATTTAAGTCTCACATAAAACAACTTAAAATGAGAACAGATATAAAATTTTATATATACGAGAATTTATTATAATTTTTAAAACAAAAAGGAAATTTATTAAAAAAAACTCTTAGAAATGAAACTCTCTCAAGTGATGGTATATAATACAAAACACCAACAGCATTTTAACAATGCTATAAAATTGATCATAAATATTCTTACCACGTCAACAGATAATCCTTTAGGTATATTTGAAATTTGAGTAGTAACATATCAAAAGAAGATTTATAATTTTATTAATACAAAAATTATAAAGAAGAGAATTGCAATTTTTAAAATTAGAAATAAAAAAATTGTTACAAATTTACAGTGTAAATAAGATATGCTATGTGCTTTTTTTTTAATATATGAAAAATGCTTCTAAAAATAAAAAAACGTAGAGTGCTCTCTTTTCCCCTAACATTACGTTATATTTCCAGAGAAAGTACCCTTTTAACAGTATACAAAATAATTGAGTGCAAAAGTATCATCTCCCCTTACTATTTCTCTTCCTTTTATCTTTGGGGAAGACAGATGTTTATAAATTTTTAAAATGTGTAATCGGCCATTTTATCTTTATTCTTTGTTCAGAGATATTCTATTAACGGAGTCGCTAAATACCTAACAAAATTGTTACGAGACAGCTGCATGACAAGAAAAGAATTATTAAAAAAATTTGAATTTAGTGACATTTACGGCTATATCTATCTCTTAATTAATTCACTTATTAATCATAATAAATATACATTAATGGGAAAATGTAAAAAAAAAAAATACAAGTTTTGTGATACAGTCAATTTCCTGATTACAAAGTTAATTTTTACGTTTTACCTAACGTGACGAAAGAATTGTCAGTTTATGGGTCTTTCAACACCTTAATCGAACAAATTTCTTGCGTAAGGTTTTTAAAAATATTGTAATTAGAATTTAACTAAAAATAGAAAACGTTTACAATTTTTACCCTTTTTACGTGTATATATATATATATATATATATATATATATATATATATATATATATATATATATATAAGTGTCACCATAACGAATTTGGTATATATAGAAATGTTAACTTAAAAAAAAGACATACATGAAAAAACAACTGGCCTTCAAAGAATTATAAAATTTTTTTAAAAAATATTCACCTATTTTTAATACATTATAACAATTTTTAACAAATGCGATTTTGTTAATTAATCATATGCGAGGTAAAAAATAGAAGAAAACACAAAACGCCACATCTCACAATGACAATCAAAGTTTGTTTTTTCCCTTTTTCTCTTCTCTAGTGAAGAGTCAATAGAGGATGAGAAGAAAAGGGAAAGAGGGAGGGGACAAACAGCATGTAATTAAGGAAGTAATAAAGAAGATAGATGAAAGAAATGTAGTAGGTGGTTCTCGGGCATAGTTTTGTTTATGTTTATTCTTTTATTCTTTTCTTTAACAGTTTGAACTTAGAAGGATGAATTCACATATATATAGAAAAGCGTGCAATGCCAAACTTCAAGAAAAAGGTGCATTGATAGAAACAAGGAATAGTCGAGAGGATAGCAGTGTGATAAGGCAGAAGGAAAAGGTAAAAGAATTGGTCAAGTCACAGTCATTGAATTCATTTCATACCCAATGGAATTAACAAAGGCGTTCAGATAGAAGAACAGGTCCATAGTGTTGGCACTGTCTAATAAATGCGAATGGCATTCAGAATTAAACGTAGGGTGACTCATTGTATGGAGTAGTTTTACTCAGAAGCAACTTGAAGCAACTGCTATAAATGCAGTTCTGTTTTACAGCAAAGTCTAATCATCTCTTTCTCGTATCTAATAATTCAACGGTGTAATGCGTAATGAAAAAATTTAAATTATCAAACATATAATTAACGAGTAAATCTTCGTTTTAATTTCTGAAATAATAAGCACAAGTCATTTTAATCTTTAGTTTTATAAAAAAAAAACATTCATTTTATTCATTGTCATTATTATTTTATTAAAAAATAAAATAAAGATCCTCAAAAATTAAACATTTTGCTAAACTAAGAATTAAATAATTGAATTTTACAATCGGATGAATCAAAATAAAAATTTAATCTATGACTAATAAAATAATAAGGAGAAGAATAAACAACTATTCTTGTGCAGTTGTGCAGTGCTAATTCTATGTCAAGCTGTTTGACCACAAATATTCGTAAAATTGACCAAAACAGTACCACATTTACTGATTAAAAGAAGAGAATAAACTGTGCTAATTAATAATGATAATCTTTCTGTGGAGGAATCCTCCATCTTGTTTTATTCCCTCGGTAAAAACCCATTAATGAAATAATGGCCAGCTGCTTTATATTGACGTCATATTTTGTATAGATGCATGCTTTGTAATGATATAAAGAAATATTTTAAATGTAACTCGAGCTTTGACTGTATATTAGTCTGTATTTGTTCATCAAAATTGAAGATTGCGGGTTCGATTTCTTTTCTCCAGCAAGCATTGTCAAAACTCCTTAAAACAGAAAGCAATATGTATCATAATGAAATCCTTGAAGTTATTTAAAGGAAGTGTATCTAGTCATATTTAAATATGAACGTGAGAGAGAAAAAGAAATAATTTTTTATATATAAATGATTAAGAATACTTAATATTAATATAATCTTGTATATTCATGATTAACTCTTTCTACGATCTTATTTCTCACATAATTAATATGGTATATATTTCTGATCTCTACATATATAGCACTAAAATATTTTAAATATTGTTAAAACTAATTTGTACTATATAAACATATGCACCGGATTAACGGAAATTAATAGCAAGATTGACATTTCTAGATTTAAACGACACATTAATTATAGAGTGATGTATTCAAATTAACTTAAGGGCAGCACATGACAAATTGCTTACATTATATGTATAGAATTGAAGAATCTGGCAACGTTATGAGTCCATATTTATACAACATTGTGAGTGACAAAATATGCATTTATGTGATATCAGGGATGACGATGACGATAATAAACCAAAATTAAATGAACCATCGTAGCTGAAATAGAGGAAGAAAGAAGTTTAATTAATTACCTATATATTGCATTAAATATGTCACCCCATGAAACCCTAGGAGCGGTTGGCGGTGCGGCGGTCATCGCCGCCACCGGCAGCACTTTGATGTTGAAGGTGGTTGAGTTGCCCTAAGCTAGCTGATATGTTCATGGCCAAGAGACTTGCATCATAGTTGTTCCCTGCATCAAAGCTTCTAACCACTTGTTGTTGGTATTGTTCCCTTGGAAAGAACTGATGGTGGTGGTGATGGTGATAGTGATGGTCACGGCCAAGGCCACTACCGGTCGTGTTCTGGTGGTGGTGGTAGGCTGTGGCCGCAGACTCAGAAGCAATGAGGCTATGGTTGGTGGTGATGCTCAAATTTTGGTACCTAGAGAGTTCTGATTTGGCACAATAAAGGTCCATTTGAAGCTGGCGAAGTTGGTGTTGAAGGAGTGATATGACTCCTACACAACCATAAACAGGGTCACGGAGTCTCATCTCAGCTTCATAAGCAAGGGAATTAACCGCATCTTCACGTTGGTGAGGGTGCAAGTCATTGAGAAGCTTTGTGACATTGCTTGCCCCGAAAATTCTATGAACATTTGCAAACTTTTGAGGTTGGTCAGGTGGAAAGTATGGTGCAAATGCACACTCGGGTTGGCATTTGCGGCGCAAGAACTTGCATGCTGCACATGGTGAATTTGAGGATGCCATGGTCACTTCTTTCTCCTCTTCCTCTCCTCTTCTTTCTCTCTCACACCACCATTAATTTCTGTGATGCATTCACCATGTTTGTTACCACTATATTGTAAAATAATAATACAATAAATGTTATAAAGAAAGGAGAAGTGTTCAGTTAATGTGTGTTAGATGGCCAAATCTATTATTTTATGGTACAATTCATTATTTTACGCTACACACTCTTTTTTCCTTTCCTTCTTTATTTTATTACCTTTTTTCGTGTGTGCGTTTTTGCAATTTAAAATGAAACCACCCTAATAAAAATTGCTTCCCTTTTACCATCACACTTTGCGCAGGATTTTTATATAGCTAACTAGCTTATCAACTGTGAAAATATTTTTTATGCTTATTTTTCTTCAAAATTAGGTCATTTTAGGGTAAGTTGAAGGGAAAGAGGAATCAAGTATCTAGACTAAAAAATATATAAATAATCCAGGGTTTGTCAACTGGGTTTTGTAAAAAAAAATTGGGAGATCCAAGAGAGAAAATATCAAAAGGGCAATGGGATTGAAGAAAATACAAAAGTGACAAAAACAAGGAATAGATCTGCATATATAACTAAAATCAAAGATTGAGTTACCACTCCGATTTCATATCCTTAGACAAAATCCTTGATTCTTGTGCTGCTGGCAGAGGAATTGAAGACAAAAGCCAAGAGCGAGAGTTTGTATATCAGGAAGGAGGTGCTGCCTGGGGATAAAAATAATGTTGAATGTTTGAAGGCAGAAGACACTCCCTTGTGTGAGAATGAGACTTGATTGTTTAACTTTGTACGAAAGAAAGGTATAAATATAGAGAGAAGAACTTAATTAATGCAATTCTAATGATTCTGCTATTTTTTTTCCTTTGAGTTAGATATATACATATAATTTTCAATTGTTTCTGCACGAAATTGAAACACATAAATCTTTTACATAACATCCTTAAAATGACCAGGGAACTCTTCATGCCAGGACAATTGGCATATATCCACTTTCCTCTTGGTTTCTTTTTGCAGATGGATGAAGCCAAGATTGATGGTGCAGAAACAGGAGACATAACTTCGTTTTCAGAATAAAAGAAAGAACGAATTGTTAGAATTAATGGAAAATATAGAAAATTTGTTCTTTTTAAATTATTATTAAAATCAAACTCCAACTAATTTAGCACGCGAGATATTTGCAAAAACAAACCGCAACTTTTTCACACACTACAGATATTTTTAAATTTAAGTACAGTTTATAAAATAAAAATATGGAAAATAAAGATAATTTTATTATAAATAACGAATATTCTATTTCATCAATAAAAATAAATTTAAAATATGACTTTTAAATTGAAGAAGAAAGTATGACAATAAATTGTTTAAAATCAAAAGACATTGATTCTAATAAAATTATAATATCAGACAGCCAGTAAAATTCTATTAAAATCATTTTTTTTAATTCAAGGCATATGTAGAAACAAGAAGAAGATAAACAATAAGTCTCGGACACACTTTGAGAGAAAAAGTCAAGAAATAATTTTGAAAATTATATTTTATAGTCTAGCATGATCTAGAAGAGGGAAAAAATGGGAAAAAAATCTAAAAAAAATACAGAATAGAGATCAAACTTGACAATTTTCAAATACATGAAGATGAAAAGAATTTGACAATTTCATAGAAATATATTTCAAGTCAGTATTCCACATAATATTACGTAATTATTGGAATCATATTGACGAGTATGAGTTTCTCTTCGACTCTTCGTTCATAGTCGAATCCAAACTAAACCATCGGGTCATACTTTAGAGTGACGTCGCAGCAAAATTGATGGCAGCCCAAGCTTGTCTCATCAGAAACGACATAGAATTAGAGACAATTGTATTTACCTGATAGATGAGAGAGTTCCTATATATATATATATATATATATATATATATAAGCAGCAATATTTCTTGTATATGTTGATTGAGAAAGTTTCAAACCAAGTGGCGAGACATAGTATTTCTTCCCAGATCATTTTTTTTTTTGTTATTATTATTATTATTTTGTTGTTAATTGAACAAGTTCTAAAATGACAAAAGTAAAATATTCATACATAATAATCGACATCTATTATATATTTTTCCGTTCACATTCTAATAAGTAAAATTATGCAAAATTGTTTTTTAGAATATTATATATGCATTTTGTGAGAAAATGTGTCTAATGTGTTTTTCATTTTCGTTAATCGAGAGTAAAATATAATTGTTTCATATATTCATACACATAAAACTTTACTGCTAACAATCAAAATTATTAAATCACAATCGAATCATAGAAATATTTAGATTTTTATTCTATCCTAAAATCCAAAATCATACATGGATTGTTTCTAGAATTGTTAATTACAACCAATTCCAAAGTGCATGTATTGATTCCCAACATCATTGGGTAAAATACTTTCCTAGAAGTGGATAGATTACGCGTGATTTTGTATAAAACTCTGAGATAGGCAAGATTTTGTTTTCTTAATTTTGACTCCGTGTATTCATCTTAATAAAATCTTAAATTAAAAACTTCACAATATATTTTAGTAGTCTATCTATGCACAAATGTTTTATTTTACAGTAAATATACATGTAATTTAATAATTAAGCAATAAAATTTTATATTTTTTAAATAATTATGTACAATAATAATAATAATAATAATAATAATAATAATGAATTATTTTAAATAATAAATTTTTAAAAAAATTGACTTAAATCTTTAATTAGGAATAGTATTTTATTAAGTACTAAAATGATAAATATTTATCAAAATTAAATAACTTTACAATATAATATTTTTTAAAAATAACACTTTTATTGTATATGTCAAAAAAATATTTGAATTAAATGTCAATAATAAATCTATGTTAATAACCATAAACTTTAAAGATGAGACTCTTAAAAATAAACTTCAAATTTAAAAAATAGAAAAAATTTAAGATAATTTAGAACAGAATTAACAAAGATGTGTGTAAAAAGAATAATCATGGCATTAAGAAAGTGTGTAATTTACACATCTTTTTTAATCCATTTTATTTACTAATTTTTTTAATTTAAAATCCATTTCTATTTTTAAGAAACTTCATAGCTTACACTTGATTTTGGATAGCAGACAGAGATTAAAGACATTTGATTGCAATAGACTAAAATTTTTGTGAATAGCACATGGAACAATTGTAGTGAAGTGCTATAGTTTTACCTTAATAGTTTTTTTAATAAATCCCAACAAGCCTATAATTATTATTAATATAAAAAAAAAATATTTGTGCCCAAATAGAGAAAAATAAAATAGGGTAATAAACCAAAAATTAATATATTAATTTGTGCTCAATTTTTAAAGAAGTATATTATTGTGGATATATTTCTATTTTAATTCAATTTTTTTAAAAATATTTATTTTGTGTCATTGTCAATTGTTCGAAAGTAAAATGTTTACTTTTATGCCTTATTTGTTTTAAATTTTTTGTGCTGCAATTATGCCTAGATAAACCAAAATAAAAAAATTAGGACTGGTTTGGGTGAAGTTTAGTTTTAAGTTTTAAAAATTACAATTAATTTTCTGCTTTATGGTTTAGATTTCAATTTTTTTATAATCTTTAGTTTTTAAATTTTAATATCAAATTTTAAAATGATAGGAAAACATTTTTCATTAACCTTTATTATTATTATTATTATTATTATTATTATTATTATATATTCTTGGTTCACATTCTACAAACTAAAAATGTAAAAATATTTTCTTTAGCTATAAGTTTCTTATTTGCATGCAAAAAATATTTTCTCTCTTCACCGTGTCTTAATTTATTTTTCATTTTTAAGTAACCAAGAGTAAAATAAGTTTATATATATATATACACATTTACTTTTAAAATCTTATTAGCAATCAAAATTCATCAAAAATATTTATTAGAGATAAGGTCTTTATATTGCACCTATAGTTTGTAGATAATATGATATTTATATTTATTGTAGAGAGTTGACCTTAAGGAACATATTGCAAATCAAACCGGGAACTATTTCAAATCATCAAGTGTTGTGTAAATATGTACATTTCTTCTAAATTGCAAATCAATGAGGCCACCTTCTATCTATTTGGGTATTTCGGTGGGAGCTAATCCAAGAAGCAAAAAACGCTTGGTATCTAGTGGTGGGTAAACTAAGAAAAAAGTGCTAACATTGGAAGAATAATGAAAAAAAGCTAGGTGTTGTGTAAATATATAATGTTTTTGGAAAGAAAATAATGAAAAAGCTTCATTAAAATACATTAAATAGTTTCACAATTGTTCATCTCAATCTTTGTTTCAAACAACAACAAAAAACGGCAATTATTCATTGTGCTTTGATATTCATGTGGCCTGAGATATTTTTTTCTACCATAGTATTATATATATGAATATGAGTATATATAAAGGTCCAGACAAAATTACCATTGAGTACATATGAATATGATAAAGGGATTTGTTTACATCTGGAAATGAAGGTTTAGGGTTTGCTTGAGGCTTGTGGTCATAATCATTTCAGCATTGGACACTTTGGGATTCTTCCTAAAAGCAATGTTGTGAGAAAAGGGAATACAAGGATCAAAGAAGAGATTTGTAAGCTAGCAAGAAAGATCCTTGAAACTTTCTTGCTGTAACAACGTCACGTTACTTTTGTTATATTTATATTTAAAAATAGTATTATTTAAAAGAGATGAGTTATTGAGAAAATGAAAATTATTTGTTGTTCAATGGTAACACTTTAAGTCCCTTTTATATTAATCAAGTCTGAAGCATTGTGGCCAAATAATAACTATGGCAGCACCATGGTAGAAAATAATGGTGATTTTTTGACAAACTGCCATACATATGGCTTGGAATGACAAATTTTGAATGGTGGGTAAAGTAAAGAAGCTGAAAACAAAAGAAGATTGGTCAAATATATTTTCAAAAGATTTTTATAAATTTTCTTAAAAAAGCTCTTTTGAGAAATATTAAGTG